GTCTTCTTTTCTCAAAACGACTTCTTATCATACGAGAGTTACCATAAATCATTTGAGGTCCGCTTTACGCCCTTGATTGGTGAAGACATTTTACTGAAGTCACTGACTTAATGAGAATAGAAGAACAAGTATAAAATGGAGTGAGACACTTTCAAGCACCGTGCCATCATAGAACTAAAAAAAAGAATGTTCAGTTCTCAACAACAACAACAGAAGGCTGTTATTAAGAATGCCGACATGTCGGAGGATATGCAACGTGTAGTTGTTGACTTGGCAACTGAAGCCATGGAGAAGTACAATATTGAGAAGGATATTGCTGCCCATATCAAGAAGGGCGTCGACGCCAAATACAACCCAACTTGGCACTGTATTGTTGGCCGAAACTTTGGCAGGTAAGCTGATCACAGTTTACAAAGGCTATTATTTTATTTATATTTCGAAGTTGTTTTAATAATATTTGTTTCTTTTTATCCATTCAGCTATGTCACACATGAGACCAAACACTTCATTTACTTCTACATGGGCCAAGTTGCCATTCTTCTCTTCAAATCCGGCTAAATTAAATTAAATAAAAATTTGTACAGGAATTAACTCATTTTACTTTTGACATTTTTTGGGAATGCATTTGATCCTCAGAAAATAAGAGTCGACTAATGTATTGGAAATACAAATCACTGTTTTCTCATGAAAAAATAAGATAGAAATTATCTTTCATGTGGTAAAAATTCCAAAACTAAATGGATTTGAGTAGAGCATGTACCGAGAACACTTGCACAGCTCAAAACGCCTGTGCGATTGAAACTAAAACCGACGCCCTCAGTATATGAGACCATGGCATATCTTCTGGCACGGAAAGAGTAGAGAGTAGACGATTTCCGCCGCATGTGCTAGATTGAAATAGCCTTGGAATCAAGTCAGGTTACCGAGATTGACAATCGAAGGCGGCAGTTATGGAGGCCGATACTTGAGCCTTGGAGAAACAATAACTTGTTCCAAGCGAAAAACAGCAGCTTGCGTTTGGCGGAGAAATGTGCTCTCACCAAAATGATTTCAAGCCCCATTTTGGAAATGAAAACAAATCAATAAAATTACACTTGACTTACAGTATAGTAAAAATGAAATTATTACAACTGGTTCTGTTGGGGTTATACTTATGAGAACTTTAGTGAACTTATCTCACCACATACGCCTGTATGATGAAAGAGAATAAATCAAAATAATATGCCAAACTGTTTTATTAATCTAATTTGTCAAAATGCGCTGGTTTTCATGGATAAATAGTAAGCCCGTTATTCAAATATCTTAGAGGGGAAGTTGTGCTTTAGAATTTTCGGTGACGCAAAGTAAGTTGCACGCCTAGTGAGAAAGTGGAGAGATGAATGCTTTCAGAATTAGAATAAAACAATGGCCTTTACATCTCCCTCTGAGTGTCATTGCAGAGGAAATTAAGGGCAGGTCACAGCACTATCAATGACAGGGTGTCATGAAGAAAGCTGACATGCTGCAGAAGATGTAGCGAGCAGTGGCAGATATAAGTGTAAAGAGAAGAGGAGTGATCGTGAATGGGGTTATTGCCAACAAATTGAAAATATTTGTCGACTGCTTATTCAACCAACATGGCAATGTGGTATGTAATAGCGAAATTTATTTATATCGAATGGCAGGCGACTTGATGGTTATCATTAGCCCTTTAGTTGACTTCAGACTTCACAGAGGAGAAGGAACATCAAATTGAAAAAGCCGAGAGGGGGGGGGGGCGAAAAGAAGAGTGTTTCAAAGATGTAAGAGACAAACAAAAAGGTAGAAAAAAGGTGAGGTGATTACTGTGGAAGTATTCGAATATGGCATAGAGTGAGGTGGTGGCTGTTTGAAGTGAGAAGTCAACTACCAGTTAATAGACTTTTTTGCCGTATGAATATACGTTGCCCAGGGTGCACCACGTGGAGGTAAGTCTATCACACACCCCAGTAACAGCGAAATATAAACTCTCTACCCACTCACAAACTACAAAGCGGTTTTTGTAAAATCGTATCATAATTCAATAATAGTATTAATTATTGGCACCCAGGCATCAATTTTGCTGTGCAAATTTTGTCAAATAATATTTTTGCCATAATTAAAACTGAGTAGAATTGAAAAAGATGCTATTTCATAAATTGTTAAAAGCCTTATTTACAACCTTTGTTTTAATGTTTACTGAAAACTTGAATGACACCGAAATATGCCCATAGCGATAATTATTAATATTGAAAGTAAAAATTTTACTATCCTAATAAGAAATTGAGTATTTATAAATATGTTGATGATTTATTAAAGGCACTTCTGGTTTAGGATATTAGTGGACGCTCAAACCGGTTGAAAGATTTTTGAGAAATTGTTTTGATTTAACATTTTCAGTATTCTCCACTTGGCATATCAATTCAAATTCACCTGATTGCATCTGGAATAATTAATGTACAAAAAATGTGCTGTTGCGTAAGTGTGTGAAGGTTTTAGTATGAGGTGGCTTCCAGGAATTCAGGGTTGACAGTTCCTTGTACCGCACTATAGTTTTGAATTTTAGAATTAAAATAAGATGAATGATAGTTTGATTGGATGATTTCAGCGTTTCCAATAATTTCACGGAGTTAGCCAGTTTGAGTGTCTGTCCAGTCAAATTGCCCCACAGGTCCAGTCATAGGAAGTGTCACATTTGGTAATTATGAATATGTTTATTAAATTAGACCATCCTAAACTTAATGAGGTAATTTTTGTAGCGGATTGCTACAATGGTAAAGCCTGACTGACTCAGAAATCTCTGTGGCAGATTCTCCTGACTCAGAAATCTCTTTGGCAGATTCTCCTACATCTAGACCGACTCAGAAATCTCCATGGCAGATTCTCAAACATCTAGCTACCGGCTCAGAAATTTCTATGGCAGATTCTCCAACATCTAGCTAGGAATCAGAAATCTCTATGGCAGATTCTCCAACCTCTAGCTAGAGAAATAGCTGAGATATAGCCCAGCTATCGAGAAAACAGACGTATAGTACGAAATACGTTTATTCAGTAAGGATGATGTGAGTAAAGTGTACACACGGGGAACTTAATCATGATCAGCATGGCGGATTAGGTTAAACGAACGGAGGCTTCTGATTGGCCACAGGTTGTATGGCCACGTGCGGGCATGTGACGACGTATCCCACATTGTAGAATTCACTTTTTGAAAATTAGAAATTAAGATTTTATGATGAAGCATATGAGTTACCCATGCATAAGCTAATTTAATTCAGCAAATTTAGTTATCTGTTTTGGTAAAAAAAGCTGAACTAAGAAATTGCTTTTAAAAACTTACTTTCCATTTTTAATTTTTCACCGTAATATGACTTGATATGTAATAATTATTCTAATTTCAATTAAATATAAAAAAGATGATCCGGGTATTTAAACCTAAATATTGTAAACAATGTACATTTATAATACTTTCATTTATAGTTGTGCTAAACATAGAATTTACTGACTATGATAAGTAATCCCTAAACTTGTTTTACAGGGGAGAAGTGGAATTATAAGGATTTCTACTGATAGGGGTAAGAGTAGCGAAGAAATATTAGTCAGTCTGCCTATAATCTAAAGCATTTCCCCACACCAAATCAAAGACAGACCTTATTTGTCAAGGAACGCCGAGAATTGTGGATATAAAGCAATGGAATTTGAATTTAAGAAGCAAAAGCTTACTCAAGCTTTATGATCAAAAGAAGAACTCGTAGGAGAGGAGAATGAAGAGCTCGAAGACATCTCCTCAAACTATTTCAAATCTTGATGTGATTTGATCCTTTTCCATAATTAAATTGCCAATAAGTTTGGCTTCGCAGTATAAATGGCGAAATGGTTATTCGAATAAAGTCCCACTTGAAATGGCCTTAGCTTTGAATTGTGGTTGTATCTTTGATAGATGTAACTTTCGAAAGACGCTGAAATCTATCGGGGAGAAGAATATGCATCCAGTTTTGGTAATTTTATATCAATATTGATTTCCTATGTTGGGACCATACCATATCTGCTTTAACATGTGATATGACCAATGCTAGTGGTCGCTGAAAATGGGTCACTTGTCACTCAGTTGAGCTTGAGGTCGACGTTACTGCGAGCGTCTTGGGTTAACAACAATGAGATGTAGCTCAAAAGGGCACTAAATGATGGATGAGCACTGTGTTTCATTGACCTGTAACGAGGACTAGAGTAGCGGTCAGCGTATGGATCCAAAATTCCCGTTATACTCGATGCAAACAGAATGAAGCAAATCTGTAACCACCAGAATCCCTGAGAACAAGACTGACTGATATTTCGAAATATATTTAGTGTATCGCTGTGGTGTTGGGATGGTGTTTATTGACCACTAATAAGTTGAAATTCCCTATTTTCGAGTTTTATATAGGTTTGGTTCTTGGAAATAAAGAGCAAAATGTTTTAACTCCTCATTTACATCGAACTCCGCGATCATTTTCATAAAATCGGGTCGCTATAACTGAGGAAAGCAGTCCTGGACAAAATGGATCAAAAGTCACTAAGATACATAATCGATACATTCACACACCAATCAGAAATTTACCATGTGTTATTTATCAGACTCTCCAATTGAGCCCATTTTAATGTAGCTAATCATCACCTAAGCAAAGGTTTGTGCTTAGTTATCAAGGATATCAATAAATGAAGAGCTAAAGGACACAAAAAATCTGATCATTGAGTTGATTTAAACATAAGAAATTTCATCAATTCAAGACCATTTAAATTTTGAAGATTGAATACTTGAAAAGCCACTAATTGTATTTACTACTGAAATAAATTGTAAATTATTTTTATTTACTTAAAGCAAATTAAATTTCTTAGGAGAGAAGAAATACACGCTTTTGACTCACCTTTTGGTTCACAAAAGACGACTATTTAGAAGGCCAATAAGTCTGAGAAGATTCAACTAAGTGTTTGAGACGAGGCTACACAAACTATGAAGAAATATGGCATTGAAAAATGCATTGTAGCCCCTACAATAAAAGAATTCAATCGGAAGGTAACTTTGATAAGTGAGTGGAACGCCATCTTCCTGGATCCCTTGAACAGGCTTTCAAACTTACTTTCCCTTCCGTTTCACTTGCAACTATATGAATAGTGAATTCGTCACTTTGAATGTAATGGAATAATAACCCATTTTAATTCGCTGGCGTTTTTTAATCAAAGGTCAATCTAAAGACTGCAGGATGAAACAGCATAGGCATTTTCACAAAGTGGGAGATATTTGAATAGTGAATTCTGGAGAGTTGTATCTGTCCATCGCTTTTCCAGTTTGTTACGATCTGCGTTGGTAGGCACGATTGAGAGAAGGTACGGGGTGTGATGAAATACACAAGACCGAACTGATAAATTCAGAGTGGGTACGAGGAGTGTGTGGGGGGTGAGGAGCAGGGAGATATTGTCAATTTGAGACACAAATTACGCCTATTCAGAGTAGATGTCTACGATACTGAGAGATTTCAGTATTATGTGATCAAACGTGGTTATAAAGAAACAAAATTAGGAACTTA